CATCAAGTCAGTTATAACTTACGACAGGTTCACATGTAGAGCTGCAATGTTGCGTTTCAGTGGTTGATTTTTTTTTTTAGATAAATTGCTAGCCTTTCTTCCAGGAAACTGTTAGAGCCCCATATTTATTAAGTACTTTCCAGGAGGTGTTTCAAGTATACATTCTTAAGCCCATTACAAGTGTGATTGCGTTTCATTTCCACGGTAGCTCAATAAAGTTGGCATGGTCATCCCCCTGTATCCATGGGGAATTGGCTCCAGGACAAACCTCCACAGTAGATACCAACATCCATGGATGAATGTTTATTTACATGAAATGAGATTGCTGTTAGGTACCACTGAGTCCACTACAGCCCAGAGCAACCCTATGAGCAACAGATCTGAACCTTGCCCTATCCTCAACCATCCTCATTATGTCTGCCCTCTAAAGCCCATCACTGTTGTCCCTGTGCCAGGCCATAATTTTGATAGTCTTCCTCTCTACTGCTAATCCTCTCCTTTCTCAGCATGGTATCTTTATTAAAGGACTGGCCAGACCTGCTCAGAGTGTGTGAGATAGCAGACCCTTAGTTGGGTTTCCTAGGCTTTAAATAGGAGGAAACTGTCCATCTTTCTCCCTCAGAGCCACTGGTGGATTTGAACCACTGCCTTTGGGTTACCGGTGCAGCTCTCTACAGACAATGCCATCAGAAGTCTCTGCTACTTAAATATAAGTTTAAATTCTCTTTTAACCTTCAAATGATCGCTTTAACAAGTAGTCACTTAAAAAAAATAAACAACCAACCAATCCTGGATACTTTTCATCTATGGTTGATTAGCTCTGTAGACATGGAACATCGAGGCCTCAGATATGGGAGGTTAGCTATAAATATCCCCATTGTACAGATGATGAAATAAAGAGAACTTTGTCTGATAAGGCAAAGAGCAAGTGAGTAACTTCCTCCATTTCATCTGGCTTCTAAGTAGCTGAAGCCAAGAAATTTCTTTTCTCACCCAACTGTCCTACCCTAAGAAGAGAGAGATTCCGTCTAAAAGGAGGAATCAGAAGCCCTATCTGCCTGAGATATCTCTTTGTGATGAGTCTTGAGACATTGGTAATATGTCAAGGTTGACTTTCGTAGAGTCTAGAGGAAGATGTATTGTTGTGTGCTGTTGTGTACCATAGAGTTGGAACGGACCCATGGCAAACTCTTTGCTGTGGGTTTTTAAAGGCAGCTAATTTGTGCAGGAGAAGATTGCCCATCTTTCTCCTATGGAACAGCTCTGCCTTGTGTGTGCCTTCAGGGTTGCAGCTCAGCTTCTTGCCACTTGGCCACCAGATGGACAGAATGTGTATGTGTGTCATCTCATAAGCCGACTTAGCTTGGTTGTAGACTTCACACACATTTTGGCCCTTCTCCTTGAAATTACCATTCATTCACTCTTTTTACATGTGTTTATCACATGCCAGTTGGCAGAAGCCTCTTCCTTTAAGATCCCATGGTGTAGCTGCTTCTCTCTGAAGCTTTTTTCACTCTTCTGAGTATTGTGAGCCCTTGCTCCTTTGCCCCCCAGAAGGCCTGTTTTAGCTCTAGTCATGTGTATTGCACTGTTATACGTGACTGACACTCTGCTAAAGGTCACTCTCTTTGAGGACAGGATCAAAAGCTGACTGTTTACCCTTGGCCAGAGTGGTTTACAGAAAGTATCTGTTGCTATGTGTGAGCCAGTGAGTATTTGCCCTTGGTCTATAGTGGAACCTTGGTAAATATTTATCAAAATGGCAAATGTCATCGGTAAGATTAATCATGCCCATATATGACTGCCATCTTTTGTGGAATGTCATCTTTGGAGGAGATAATTTGAGGACTGGCTGAGGCTTGGTGTGCTAGTGCAGCTAAGTGTCATAGAAATGACAGGAAGAGCTCTCACTTGCTGAATATTGTGTCATGGAACTTAAGCTATTAATTTTTTTAAAATTATTTTTCTTAGTTACAACCTTGGATCCCCTCACCCAAACACCTTTCATTTTGGACCAATATTCTTTTTTATTCTTTTAGCTGCCATTATGGCCACTTCTGCAACAGAGCAAAGTATTTTCTGGTCCCGTATCATCCTCAACAATCACCAGCTTGTTTGAGTTTATTGTGTTACTGTTGTGCAAATTCATCTCACTGGTGGTTTTCGGCATTGTTGTCCCTGCTGCTTTACGAATATGGTGTCTGTCCTCGTCTGGCGATTATCCCCGCTGATGACATGTCCAGAGCTGGAGAATCATGAAATTATGCTGGGATCCATAGGCTTTCATTGGCTAATATTTGGAATTAGATCACCAGGTCTTTTGTCTGCTCTGAAAACTGCTCAGCCCTGCTCACCATGTATGATCTTGTGATTTATTTAAAATATTGGTAGCATAAATTCTGGCATCATAGCAAGCTGCATTTTACCATAATACAAATTTATATTAAAGAACAAACAGGGCAGGGAGGGGGACAAATAACCCATGCTATCTGTAAAGAAGGTCAGAATGTCTTCAATTTAGGTCTTTCATGTAAATTTTATATTAGACCTTATAGCTAAGCCATCTATAATTGTCAAAATTAAGAGGTATGCCCCTGTTAGTCCACTGCTTAGAATACACCCTGAGAAAATTAGTACTGAAGCACAGACAGAGACTTGTACACCAGGGTACACCATTGAAAGAACATAGAAACAGCCCAGATGTCCAACCACAGTTGAATGTATTGAGAAATTATGGTACATTCACAGAAATGGACCATAATTTGATGGAATACTACACAGCAAAAAGGAGCAGTGGTTTTGTTAATTATTACCTAACTTGGGAGGGACTGGAGAGCATTAGGCTGAGTGAACTAACTCAGTCCCACAGGGACAAATACTGTATAAAGCCATTATTGTAGAATGAGTATGAAGATCCAGGTGGACAGGGGAGGGTGAAAGCAGAGGAATGAGGATGTAGGAGGAGGGGTTAATCATGGGGTTGTACAATTTGATGGGGGAGTGAGGGAAATTTATTCTATTTTTGTAAATAAACTAGTATAAATTTAAAAAATAAAAAAAAATAAGAGGTTTGGAGCATTGTTCTTTTTAAACTGAATCTGGCAATTGACGGCAGACTTTTTAATGAATTGCTTCTTATGATTTGAGCCGAAGTTTGCAGAGCAGATTGGTATTCCATTCAGCTGTCCATACTTGTTTTATGACACTGATTACAATCCTCATACTGAATCCTCCCTCTTCTCACTGCTCTTTCTGGCTCTTGCCTCCATTCACCTTTCCATCCTCTCCCTTCCTACCTTCTGAGCCTTATCCCTGTGCTGATGCTGCCTTGACATCCTATGTGGTTGATTGTTCAAAGGACGGAACTCATAGTTCTGTCTGTTGTCTGATTACAAATTGGGCCACAGGAATGAGATCAGTTCCAGACTGAGAGGACATCCAGCAGCCATAGGCTCAGGCACTCCACTCCATCGTCTAGTGAGCCAGCCCATTCGTGTTTTGTTTTGCTTTATTACAAAATTTTTATTTCATATCAGTTTACTTACTAAATTTGTATACTTTGTTTTTCACAGTATTCTTTCTCCTTTCCTTTCCCCACCCCTCCCTCCACCCATCAAATTGTGCAGCCATATGATTAACTGCCCCCACCCTCCCTTGGATCCTCATACAACTTCTACAGTAATGGTCTTTTACAGTGTAGTGTGGTTTTGAGTTTTGTTCTCCATCTATCTCCCGCGCTATCCGGGACCCTCTGTTGTGATCGTTTTCCAAACAGTGGAAACCAGCTAACATACATGGTTTTATCGTAAATGGTTTTCGACCTGTGAAATGAGCAAAGAATTGGCTACACACTCTGAAGCTCTGGTAGCTTTCTGGTAATATTCTTTAAAAATAGATAACTGGTGAAATGTTTATTTTCAACTGAACTCTCAGATAAAACTATCAGATAGTCACTGGGACTGACTTGACATAGGAATACATTCATTCAATTTAAATGAGATTGAAAAGAGGTAATGTATGTGAAGCAGTAGCTGAAGACACAGTGTATATAATAAGTGCATAGTAAATACTCACTGTAATTGAAGTGGTTGTGTTATCATTATTATCCCTATTCTCTTCTTAGCACAGTGTCTGAACTTAATAGTACCTAGTATTGTGCAATGCATATTTATTAAGGAATGAATGAAATGTGTCACTGACTGCTTCCTGTTCCTCTGCACATTAAATGCTTGTCTGCTCACAAACTGGTGAGGGAAAGCCGACATAAAAATTGGCTCAATGGAAAGCTTCTCAGGCCCCATTTGTCAACTTACCCTGGGAACCCAGTTGCGTGTCAAGTCCATATCCCCTCTGATGCCCACTGGTGAAGAACAGACCGCTGGTCACTTCCCCATGATCTGCTCTAGCTGCCCAGGCTCTGATCAAGCTGGCTGATGGATGTGTTCCCTCCACAGGACTGGTCAGAAAGCATGCCGTGGCTCTGTTTCTGGGTAACATCTAGTGTGTGTGAATAAGAAACAGGGAAGACCTAGAGTTGTATTTTTTTCTTTATTTTCAGTTACCTAATTGAAAACCAATTTCATTCCCTTTGCTGTATGAAAATAAAAGCTTGAACAGATGCCATCAAGTGAATCCCAGTTGTTGGGACCCCATGCATGGATGTTGGAATTGCTCCACTCGGTTTCCAAGGTTTTGACCTTGACCTTGTGGAAGCAGTTCTTTCTTCCAAGGAACCTCTTAGTGGTTTCGAACAAACAACCTTTCAGTGAGAAAACATTTATCTGTTTATACCACTCAGGGACTCTTTTGGTGTGTATATAAATTTTGCCAGTGACTTTCTGAAGGCATATGGAAAAATTTGCACATGAAGACCAGTTTCCCCTGTTTTTGTGTGTGTACAGTTGTCAGCTTAATCTCCATCTCTTCCTAAATTCAATTCAGATTCAAAGCTTAATTCTGAGGTGTTGTTTTGTTTTTGTTTTTTTTTTCTTAATTTGCAGCCCTCAAAGGGAGTGAATGAAATGAGCCGCCTGGGGAGCCATTTCTGAAGGGAGGAGTCGTTCTCTTGGAGAGGAGTCCTCAATGAGCCTGGCCAAGGCCCGGGATCTGTGTGAAGTGGACTAAGGATTTAGTAGGATGTCAACTGAGACAGAACTTCAAGTAGCTGTGAAAACCAGCACCAAGAAAGACTCCAGAAAGAAAGGTAGGACTGGATCTTCTCCTTGGTCCGTGGCTACTTTTTAATTTAGGCTCTTTATCTCTGAAGAAAGGTAAACAATAGTCTTTGTGCTTGCCTATATATCTTCTTCACTCTAGCTCCATCACTTAGACAATGCCTGACTCAGAGGAGGTGGTCGGTCAGATAATGTAACGGTGAACGTAGTATAATACCGAGTGTGGTAATAAACAAATTCTACTGCGTGGCATGATTTATTTTGAAAATTTGGACTCCTGACATTTGAGTATGTTTCTCTCCCTGTTGTAATTAGATTTAAGCAGCTTCTGCAGGCATGAGTGTGTCCCTCGGTCCACGTATGTGTGTGCACATGCGCTCTCCTTACGCTTTTTAGTTCTTTTCACCTCTTTTCTCCTGAGGTGTGTGAAAGAGGATTAATCGAGCTCTCTTTGGTCTTGGAATCTGTCAGTGGGAACTGACCCTTAGTTGCCATGCGTGGACAGGACAGAGATTTGTACTGACGCTCCACGCCTGGCCAGTCATGTTTTGTGATGTCATTTGTCTGACATGCTGTAGGAAGCAAGGGACAGAAATTAACTACATATGCAGCTATTGGACAGTCAAAATCCCAAGAAGGACTGTAAATTTTACTTTTGATGTTTATTTCAGGTACAGATATTTTGGAGGCCACCTATTTTATTCCCGAAATCTTAATGTCAGCCTTGTTTTTCATGCATCATGCTCTTAAGAAGAAAGAGAAAGCAAGTGTGTAAAAGAATAGGTCCTAGGACAACTGCTGTAGGGGGGGAAAGGGGGGGGATGTAGGGCTTACTACTATGTACTGGAATTTAAATGCTTTTTTAGTGGAAACTGTCAAGTCATATTTTTGCTTCAAATTTAACCTTTCCAGTAAACTTGCACTCTTGAATGCTTAATGCATTAAAAATTGTATGTTAGTGCATATTTTTTCATTCTTAATTTTAACATGCAAAACCAGAAGCCTTCTGAAGCAAGAATTTAATTTCTCAGGATATTGGCTGGGTTGGAAACTTGGAATGCAAGTGTGAAGGTGACCCTTTTAGGATTTCATCATTTTTACATCCTAGAAAGCTCTCAAATTCAGCACCAGTACAAATGAGCGTTGCATTTTCCAGAACCTCAGACTCACTCCCATTCATGCAGTTCTTGCTCATAGTCATTCGTTTGAGTTTCTAGGTTCTGAATCGTAAGGGGAGGAAACTGCCCATCTTTCTCTTGCTGAACTGCTGATTAATTTGAACCCGGGGCTTAGTAATACAGCTTGATGTGAGCTGCTCTCCCAGAACTCCCAAGTATTGTCCGGTGGGAATTTGATCTTATGGAGTCTGAATAGGCAGCCATGGCTCAAATTATTGCTTTGCCGGAAATAGAAGTCTGGTAGAATAAAATTTAACCTGTTGGGCTGCTGGTACTTAACAGCTTCTCCAAGGGAGAAAAATGGGCAGTCTCTTCCTGTGAAGAATTATAACTTTGGAAGCTTGCTGGCACAACATCATGAATCCAAATGAGCTCGGTGGCGAGAAGGTTTTGGTTTTACAACTCCCAGCTGTGTGGGCTCAGAAAGCTACTTAAAAGTTCTGGTCCTTGTTATTTTCTCCTATAAAATACACATACATCTTGTCTAAATCTCATAAACCAATTATGAAGATTAATCATGGAAATAAAGAAACTAAAGTAAGTGATAGAGTATCTGCTTATATGAAATTTTGGAAGCAGGAGTGGCATCCACTTCCTAAACAACATGCTTCTGGAAACTCTATGAACTTTGATAAATGTCGTTAGTTGTAGAGGGGCTACAGGCCTTTTATGAGTCATGCTCAACTCGAAGGCAATCAACAACAACATATGAAATTACTTGGTATGCATCAGAGAGCTAGACAGTGACTGAAGATGACAGAAGAAGAATTGATACCTTTGAGTTGTGGTGCTGGAGGGGAGTCAGAAGAAGAATTGATACCTTTGGGTTGTGGTGCTGGAGGGGAGTCTTGAACATACCATGGACCACCAAGAAAAGAAATTTCTCCTTGGAGGCAAAGATTTTGAAGCTCTGTTTCACACACTTTGGGCACATGGCCAGATGAGAAGGACATCATGCTTGAAAGGATGGAGGGACAGCACAGGAGAGGAAGACACTGGATGAGATGGATGGAGCAATGGGGGTAGGTGTGTCAAAGTCAGTGAAACTGGCTCAGGACAAGACAGGCTTCAGTGCTGTTGTATATAGGGGTCGCTGAGTCGCAGGTGATACAAAGGGACTTGCCAACAACAATAACAGTATATGAAATGCTCAATAGATGCAAGTTGTATTCTTCTTGTTGTTCTTTTTCATCCTCCTTTTTCTTCATCCTCCTCTCTCATTACTTATTATCTTCCTCCACCCCACTCCCCACCCCACCACATCTTTTTTATCTTCCTTCTCTTCCTTTTCTTCTTATAAATCTTTGTCATCATCACACTGTTGATTTTTTACTGTGTTCTTATATTAGAACCAAGAACTCTTAAAATGTACATAGCTCATTTGCCTCACAGCAAGATTATATAATTGCATGCACTCTAGTAGCCTAGTGGATGTGATGTCACATTACTAACCTATAGGTGGGCAGTTTGAATCTACCGGCTGTTTGGAAGGAGAAAAATGAGTAGTCTCCTCTCCTGTGATTTATAGCTTCTGAAAACCTGCCGGAGGGTCAGAAATGAATTGGTTCAAACTTATTGTTAATGAGTTTGAGTCTAGTTTGTGCAAATGTAGAAAGTGAAGGGAAGAGAAGAGAAGGGCAAGGGGAAGGGAAGGGGAAGAGGTGGGGAAGGGAAGGGAAGGGAAAGGGGAAGAGGTGGGGAAGGGAAGGGGGAAGGGGAAGGGGAAGGAAAAGAAGAAACATACACACATGTACAAATGCACATGCAAAATGCTTGTCTGGAGCAGGGTAACAATGAAATTCATTAAAATGAGAGGCAACACACTGGCAGCACAGTGACTTCATTTCTTGTTTTTCCCCTGTAAGTATTTTATTAAATTCACACTTTTAATTACTGCAAAAGGAACACAATTTTAAATGCAATAAAGCAATAAAAGAAAAACATACTGCTCTTTAATCTGAAGTATTTAACATGGTCATACTCTCTTATTTTCCCCTTAATTTTTCTATATAGAATATGTTGTTGTTTGTCATTGTTTGGTGCCGTTGAGTCGTAGACCACCCATAGCGACCCTATGAATGAACAGCCTGAGTACTGTTCATACATAGAGTTTCCGGAGGCAAGCCATTTCGGAAGTGGATGCCGCTCCTGCTTCCATATAGAATATATAACCTATAAATGAGTTACCCTTTTTCTCCAGTTTTTAAGCTCTTGTTTCTTTTTCTTGTTTCGGTGTGTCAGCTAGACCTGCCAATAAAATGTTAGTAGATATCCTTATCATGTTCCTGGATAATAGATTGCCTTTAGGTGCAATATTTAAGTTATTAATAAATATTATGTATTCTTATTGTTGTTGTTGAGTCATTCCTGACTTCTTGTGCCTTCATGTGTGCAGAAGTAGAATGAATTTCATAGGGCTTTCAAATTCATTACCTTTTTGAAGCACATCTCATCTGAGGAACCTCAAGATAGATTTGAACATACTTTAAATTAAAATTTCCTAGGAGGTATTAAAGGAGCTCTGGTGGCCTAGTGGCAAGAAGCTGTGCTGCAATACTGAAGGGACATGGTTCGAGGCCACCAACTGC